CAGTGTAAGGCCATCCTTAGAGAGTGTTATCTGGTTGTGGGAGTGTTGTTTAGTTCCCAGGATATTAGAGATGGTATTCCATGTGCTTTTCATGTTGCCTTTTGATTCTTTGAATCTAGTCTCATAATATGAAAGTTTTGCTTTTCTTATGATACTAGTAAGCACTGATGAGTACCTTTTAACTACTTCCTTTGTAACTAGGCCACACCTAAATTTCTTTTCGTATTCATGTTTTTTGTTGATTGATTTAATTATGCCACTTGTGAGCCACGGGTTATTTTTTCTTTTATCAGTTACTTGTTTGGTAAGGAGGGGACAGTGAGTGTTGTAGAGGCTTAGAGTTTTGGAGAGAAAGAGGTTAGTTGATGAGTTTATATCCTGGGAATTATTAAATTCAGATTCCAAGTTAATATTGTGAAGTGCATTAGAGAGATTGCCTAAAGCTGATTCACTATGTAGCCTGAATGAGAGTTTCTTGGTTTCTGGTGTTGTGTCCATGTTTGCTATGAGGAAGGTAGGATAGTGGTCAGTTGTTCTGTCATAAATTACCCCAGATGTAAGGGGAGCTGTTATATTGGTCCATAAGTGATCCAGGGTAGTGGCAGATGTTTGAGTGACTCGGGTGGGCTTGGTGATTGTGGGGATTAGCATACAGGAGTGCATGCTGTTACGGAAATAGTCAACTTGAGGGTTGTTTTGAAGACCCAGGTCAATATTGAAATCACCTCCCAGAATGATGTGATTTTTGTTGAGATTGTTATTTATGATAAGATTCCTTACGTTGTCAGAGAATAAAGCTATGTTGGTATTAGGAAATCTATAGATGGCACGGATAGTCAGGGAGGATTTAAGGGATTTACTGGAGAACTTGGCAAAGGTATATTCACAATAGTCGTCTCTATCACTAATAACACTATTGCAAATGAAGGTATCTTTGTAATATATTGCTGTGCCACCACTTTTTTTATTAGGCCTGCAGTTATGAATGGCTTTATAACCAGCTAAATTGTAGAGTTGGGTATAGTCTTTACTTAGCCAAGTTTCTGTTAAAATGATGAATGATAATTTAGTACCTAGTGCTGTAAGTAGTGCATTTATATCATCAAAATGTTTACCAAGTGACCTAACATTTTGGTTGTAAACTGATAAGCAGGTGCTATTTAGGAGTTTGTTTTCTGCAAGATTTTCTGTGTAATACCTGCAATAATGATGATCAATGTGCTGATTTGTGTGGATATGGGACAGAAGATTTCGATCAGGATCAATATCAGTAAGCATATAGATAAGATAATGTCACGATACAATAAGATAAGCAATTACAGGAACAGATAAATACTAAATCTGCTGTATTCGTTTATTATTCGTTTTATAACTATTCGTATTTATAACTTATACTATATATAACTATTAACTATTTATAATTATTCGTTTATAACTAATCCTCCTCCTCATTATTCGTCTGATAACTACCGTTCCACCTCATTATTCGTCTCTTAAGCACCCCTCCTCCTCATTATTTGTCTCATAACTAACCCTCCACCTCATGTTCGTCTCACAACTCCCCTCCACCTCATTATACATCTCTTAACTGCCCTCCACCTCATTATTTTTCTCATAACTACCCCTCCACCTCATTATTCGTCTCATAACTACCCCTCCACCTCATTATTCGTCTCAAAATTACCCTCCAGCTCATTATTAGTCTCATAACTAATCCTCCTCCTCATTATTCGTCTCATAATTACCCTTCCACCTTATTATTCGTCTCATAACTACCCCTTAACATCATTATTCGTCTCATAACTACCCTCCACCTCATTATTCGTTTCATACCTACCCCTCCACCTCACTATTCGTCTCATAACTCTACCTCCACATCTTTATTCGTAATATAACTTCCCGTTCACCTCATTATTCGTCTCATAACTACCCTCGACTTCGTTATTCGTCTCAGAACCACCCCTCAAACTCATTATTCATCTCACAACTACTCCTCTACCTCATTATTCGTCTCATAACGACCCTCCACCTTATTATTCGTCTCAGAACCACCCCTCAACCTCATTATTCATCTCATAAATACCCCTCGAACTCATGCTCGTCTCATAACTACCCCTCAACCTCATTTTTCGTTTCATAACTTCCCCTCCACCTCATTATTCGACTCATAACTACCCCCTTCACTTAATTATTCGTCTCATAACTAAACCTCCACCTCATTATTTATCTCATAACTAACGCTCCACCTCATATTCGTCTCATACCCACCCCTCCACCTCATTATTCGTCTCATAACTACCCTCCACCTCATTATTCGTCTCATAACTTCCCTCCACCTCATTATTCGTCTCATAATTACCGTCCACCTCATTATTCGTCTCATAACTAATCCTCCTCCTCATTATTCGTCTCATAATTACCCTTCCACCTCAATATTCATCTCATAACTACCCCTTAGCCTCATTATTTGTCTCATAACTACCCCCTTCACCTCATTATTCGTATCATAACTACCCTCCACCTCATTATTTGTCTCATAACTTCCCTCCACCTCATTATTCGTCTCATAACTACTCTCAACCTCATTATTCGTCTCATAACTAACCCTCCACCTCATTATTCTTCTCATAACTACCCATCCGCCTCATTATTTATATTTAAAAATTAAATATATAAATTTATAAATGATAAATATATACAAATTAATAATGAATATATATAAATTCAATATAAATATATAAATGAAATTTATATATTTAAAATGTATATAAAATATATATAAAAATGTGTTTGACGAGGCTCGAGAGTTAAGAATAGACAGTAAGTTTGAGATTTAATCAAGCTAATTAATATTAAAGGTTCAGAAGATGTGTTTAAAAGTTTTTGTAACATTATGGAGTTAAATTTTACAAATTTGAAGTTTGTAAACTTGGCAGGGTGATGAGTAAGATGAGTTGGTATATAGCACTGAGAAGGGGTCAGGATAAGGATTTGGGATGGGACGGAGGGGAAGGAATGGTGCCCAACCACTTGTTGGGACGGTCGGGGATTGAACGGCGACCTGCATGAAGCGAGACCGTTGCCCTACCGTCCACCCCAAGCAGAGAGGCGTCTTAGTGTCTATCAAAGAGAATTTGTCTATCGGCCCGACTCACATCTTGTCAGGTACGGGCTGGGTCGGGCCAGGTGCGTCCGCCCAAGTGGCACACTTTTAGAAATATGCGCAGCTTTATGATTTAGGAATCATATAAGATCATGTAGGGGACTCATTCAGCATCATGTAGGGGACTCATTCAGCATCATGTTTGGGACTCATTCAGCATCATGTAGGGGACTCATTCAGCATCAGGTAGGGGACTCATTCAGCATCAGGTAGGGGACTCATTCAGCATCATGTAGGGGACTCATTCAGCATCATGTAGGGGACTTATTCAGCATCATGTAGGAGACTCATTCAGCATCATGTAGGGGACTCATTCAGCATCATGTAGGGGACTCATTCAGCATCATGTAGGAGACTCATTCAGCATCATGTAGGGGACTCATTCAGCATCATGTAGGGGGCTCGTTCAGCATCATGTAGGGGACTCATTCAGCATCATGTAGGGGACTCATTCAGCATCATGTTTGGGACTCATTCAGCATCATGTAGGGGACTCATTCAGCATCAGGTAGGGGACTCATTCAGCATCAGGTAGGGGACTCATTCAGCATCATGTAGGGGACTCATTCAGCATCATGTAGGGGACTCATTCAGCATCATGTAGGGGACTCATTCAGCATCATGTAGAGGACTCATTCAGCATCATGTAGGGGACTCAATCAGCATCATGTAGGGGACTCATTCAGCATCATGTAGGGGACTCATTCAGCATCATGTAGGTGGCATCAACATCAACAACATCAACAGGTGGCATCAACAGCGGTGGCGTCAACAACAGCGGTGGCGTCAACAACAGCGGTGGCGTCAACAACAGCGGTGGCGTCAACAACAGCGGTGGCGTCAACAACAGCGGTGGCGTCAACAACAGCGGTGGCGTCAACAACAGCGGTGGCGTCAACAACAGCGGTGGCGTCAACAACAGCGGTGGGGTCAAGAACAGCGGTGGCGTCAACAACAGCGGTGGCGTCAACAACAGCGGTGGCGTCAACAACAGCGGTGGCGTCAACAACAGCGGTGGCGTCAACAACAGCGGTGGGGTCAACAACAGCGGTGGCGTCAACAACAGCGGTGGCGTCAACAACAGCGGTGGGGTCAACAACAGCGGTGGCGTCAACAACAGCGGTGGCGTCAACAACAGCGGTGGCGTCAACAACAGCGGTGGCGTCAACAACAGCGGTGGCGTCAACAACAGCGGTGGCGTCAACAACAGCGGTGGCGTCAACAACAGCGGTGGCGTCAACAACAGCGGTGGGGTCAACAACAGCGGTGGCGTCAACAACAGCGGTAGCGTCAACAACAGCGGTGGGGTCAACAACAGCGGTGGCGTCAACAACAGCGGTGGCGTCAACAACAGCGGTGGCGTCAACAACAGCGGTGGCGTCAACAACAGCGGTGGCGTCAACAACAGCGGTGGCGTCAACAACAGCGGTGGCGTCAACAACAGCGGTGGGGTCAACAACAGCGGTGGCGTCAACAACAGTGGCAACAACAGCGGTGGCGTCAACAGTGGTGGCGTCAACACTGGTGGCAATAACAGCGGTGGCGTCAACAACAGTGGCAACAACAGCGGTGGCGTCAACAGTGGTGGCGTCAACAGCGGTGGCGTCAACAGCGGTGGCGTCAACAGCGGTGGCAACATCAGTAGTGGCAACAACAGCGGTGGCAACAACAGCGGTGGCGTCAACAATGGTGTCATCAACAGCGGTGGCGTCAACAGCAGTGGTAACAACAGCGGTGGCAACAACAGCGGTGGCGTCAACAGCGGTGGCAACAACAGCGATGGCAACAACAGCGGTGGCATCAACAGTGGTGGCCACAACAGTGGTGGCAACAACAGCGGTGGCGTCAACAGTGGTGGCAACAACAGTGGTGGCGTCAACAGTGGTAGCAACAACAGTGGTGGCAACAACAGTGGTGGCAATAACAGTGGTGGCAACAACAGTGGTGGCAACAACAGTGGTGGCAACAAAAGTGGTGGCAACAACAGTGGTGGCAACAACAGTGGTGGCAACAACAGTGGTGGCGTCAACAGTGGTCGCAATAACAGTGGTGGCAACAACAGTGGTGGCGTCAACAGTGGTCGCAATAACAGTGGTGGCAACAACAGTGGTGGCAACAACAGTGGTGGTGTAAACAGTGGTAGCAACAACAGCGGTGATGACAACAACGGTTGCATCAACAGTGGTTGCGTCAACAGCGGAAGCAAAAACAGCAGTGGCAACAACAGCGGTGGCAACAACAGTGGTAGTGTCAAAAACAGCGGAGTCATCAACAGCAGTATCAACAACAGCAGTGGCAACAACAGCGGTGGCGACAACAACGGTTGCATCAACAGTGGTCGAGTCAACAGCAGTGGCAAAACACACCGGTATCAACAACAGCGGTGGCGTCAACTGTGGTGGCATCAAAAGTGGTGGCAACAACAGCGGTAGCGTCAACAGCAGTGGCAACAACAGCGGTGGCGTCAACAGCGGAAGAAAAACAGCAGTTGTAACAACAGCGGTGGCAACAACAGCGGTGGCAACAACAGCGGTGGCAACAACAGCGATGGCGACGACAACGGTGGCTTCAACAGTGGTCGAGTCAACAGCAGTGGCAAAACACACCGGTATCAACAACAGCGGTTGCAACAACAGCGGTGGCGTCAACTGTGGTGGCATCAAAAGTGGTGGCAACAACAGCGGTAGCGTCAACAGCAGTGGCAACAACAGCGGTGGCGTCAACTGTGGTGGCATCAAAAGTGGTGGCAACAACAGCGGTAGCGTCAACAGCAGTGGCAACAACAGCGGTGGCGTCAACAGTGGTGGCGTCAACAATGGTGGCATCAACAGCAGTGGCAACAACAGCGGTGGCAACAACAGCAGTGGCAACAACAGCGGTGGCGTCAACAGTGGTGCCGTCCACAATGGTGGCATCAACAGCGGTGGCGTCAACAACGGTGGCAACAACAGCGGTGGCAATAACAGCGGTGGCAACAACAGCCGAGGTAACAACAGCGGTGGCGTCAACAGCGGTGGCAACAACAGTGGTGGCCATAACAGCGGTGGCGTCAACAGCGGTGGCAACAACAGCGGTGGCAATAACAGCGGTGGCAATAATAACGGTGGCAACAACAGCGGTGGCAACAACAGCGGTGGCAATAACAGCAGTGGCAACAACAGCGGTGGCGTCAACAGCGGTGGCCACAACAGCGGTGGCAATAACAGCGGTGGCAACAACAGCGGTGACAACAACAGCAGTGGCAACAACAGCAGTGGCAACAACAGCGGTGGCAACAACAGCCGTGGCAACAACAGCGGTGGCGTCAACAGCGGTGGCAACAACAGTGGTGGCCATAACAGCGGTGGCGTCAACAGCGGTGGGAACAACAGCGGTGGCAACAACAGCGGTGGCAATAACAGCGATGGCAATAACAGCGGTGGCAACAACAGCGGTGGCAATAACAGCGGTGACAACAACAGCAGTGGCAACAACAGCGGTGGCGTCAACAGCGGTGGCAACAACAGTGGTGGCAACAACAGCGGTGGCGTCAACAGCGGTGGCAACACCAGCGGTGGCAACAACAGCGGTGGCGTCAACAGCGGTGGCAACAACCGCGGTGGTGTCACCAACAGCTTTGGCGTCAACAGTGGTGGCGTCCACAGCGGTGGCAACAACAGCGGTGGTGTCAATGGCAGTGGCAACAACAGCGGTGGCAACAACAGCGGTCTCAACAACAGCGGTTGTGTCAACAGCGGTGGCAACAACAGCGGTGGCAACAACAGGGGTGGCGTCAACAGCTGTGGCGTCAAGAGCAGTGGCAACAACAGCAATGGCGTCAACAGTGGTGGCGTCAACAGCAGTGGCAACAAGAGCAGTGGCAACAACAGCGGTGGCGTCAACAGCGGTGGCAACAACAGTGGTGGCAACAACAGCGGTGGCGTCAACAGCGGTGGCAACAACAGCGGTGGCAACAACAGCGGTGGCGTCAACAGCGGTGGCAACAACCGCGGTGGTGTCAACAACAGCTGTGGCGTCAACAGTGGTGGCGTCCACAGCGTGGCAACAACAGCGGTGGTGTCAATGGCAGTGGCCACAACAGCGGTGGCAACAACAGCGGTCTCAACAACAGCGGTGGCGTCAACAGCGGTGGCAACAAGAGCAGTGGCAACAACAGGGGTGGCGTCAACAGCTGTGGCGTCAAGAGCAGTGGCAACAACAGCGGTGGCGTCAACAGTGGTGGCGTCAACAGCAGTGGCAACAAGAGCAGTGGCAACAACAGCAGTGGCGTCAACAGTGGTGGTGTCAACAGCGGTGGCCACAACAGCGGTGGCAACAACAGTGGTGGCAATAACAGCAGTGGCAACAACAGCGGTGGCGTCAACAGCGGTGGCCACAACAGCGGTGGCCATAACAGCGGTGGCAACAACAGCGGTGACAACAACAGCAGTGGCAACAACAGCAGTGGCAACAACAGCGGTGGCAACAACAGCCGTGGCAACAACAGCGGTGGCGTCAACAGCGGTGGCAACAACAGTGGTGGCCATAACAGCGGTGGCGTCAACAGCGGTGGGAACAACAGCGGTGGCAACAACAGCGGTGGCAATAACAGCGATGGCAATAACAGCGGTGGCAACAACAGCGGTGGCAATAACAGCGGTGACAACAACAGCAGTGGCAACAACAGCGGTGGCGTCAACAGCGGGGGCAACAACAGTGGTGGCAACAACAGCGGTGGCGTCAACAGCGGTGGCAACAACAGCGGTGGCAACAACAGCGGTGGCGTCAACAGCGGTGGCAACAACCGCGGTGGTGTCACCAACAGCTTTGGCGTCAACAGTGGTGGCGTCCACAGCGGTGGCAACAACAGCGGTGGTGTCAATGGCAGTGGCAACAACAGCGGTGGCAACAACAGCGGGCTCAACAACAGCAGTTGTGTCAACAGCGGTGGCAACAACAGCAGTGGCAACAACAGGGGTGGCGTCAACAGCAGTGGCGTCAAGAGCAGTGGCAACAACAGCAATGGCGTCAACAGTGGTGGCTACAGCAGTGGCAACAACAGCGGTGGCGTCAACAGCGGTGGCAACAACAGTGGTGGCAACAACAGCGGTGGCGTCAACAGCGGTGGCAACAACAGCGGTGGCAACAACAGCGGTGGCGTCAACAGCGGTGGCAACAACCGCGGTGGTGTCAACAACAGCTGTGGCGTCAACAGTGGTGGCGTCCACAGCGTGGCAACAACAGCGGTGGTGTCAATGGCAGTGGCAACAACAGCGGTGGCAACAACAGCGGTCTCAACAACAGCGGTGGCGTCAACAGCGGTGGCAACAAGAGCAGTGGGAACAACAGGGGTGGCGTCAACAGCTGTGGCGTCAAGAGCAGTGGCAACAACAGCGGTGGCGTCAATGTGGTGGCGTCAACAGCAGTGGCAACAAGAGCAGTGGCAACAACAGCAGTGGCGTCAACAGTGGTGGCGTCAACAGCGGTGACGTCAAAAGCGGTGGCAACAACAGCAGTGGCAACAACAGCGGTGGCAATAACAGCTGTGGCAATAACAGCTGTGGCAACAACAGCAGTGGGAACAACAGCGGTGGCGTCAACAGTGGTGGCGTCAACAGCGGTGACGTCAAAAGCGGTGGCAACAACAGCAGTGGCAACAACAGCGGTGGCAATATCTGCATTGGCAATAACAGCTGTGGCAACAACAGCGGTGGCGTCAACAGCGGTGGCAACAACAGCGGTGGCAATAACAGCGGTGGCAACAATAGCGGGAGCTTCAACAGCGGTGGCAACAACAGCGGTGGCAACACCAGCGGTGGCGTCAACAGCGGTGGCAACAACAGCGGTGGCAACAACAGTAGTGGCAACAACAGCAGTGGCAACAACAGCGGTGCCGTCAACAACGGTGGCAATAACAGCGGTGGCAGCAACGGCAGTGGCAACAACAGCGGTGGCGTCAACAGCGGTGGCAATAACAGCGGTGGCAACAAAAGCGGTGGCGTCAACAGCGGTGGCAACAACAGCGGTGGCGTCAACAGCGGTGGCAACAACAGCGGTGGCAACAACAGCGGTGGCGTCAACAGCGGTGGCAACAACAGCGGTGGCAACAACAGTGGTGGCCATAACAGCAGTGGCGTCAAGAGCGGTGGCAACAACAGCGGTGGCAACAACAGTGGTGGCAATGACAGCGGTGGCAATAACAGCGGTGGCAACAACAGCGGTGGCAATAACAGCGGTGACAACAACAACAGTTGCAACAACAGCGGTGGCGTCAACAGCGGTGGCAACAACAGCGGTGGCAATAACAGCGGTGGCAACAACAGCAGTGGCAACAACAGCGGTGGCGTCAACAGCGGTGGCAACAACAGAGGTGGCAACAACAGCGGTGGCGTCAACAGCGGTGACAACAACAGCGGTGGCAACAACAGCTGTTGCAACAACAGTGGTAGCGTAAACAGCGGTGGCGTAAACAGCGGTGGCAACAACAGCGGTGGCAACAACAGCGGTGGCATCAACAGCAGTGCAACAACAGCGGTGGCAACAACAACGGTGGCGTCAACAGCGGAGGCCACAACACCGGTGTCAACAACAACGGTGGCGTCAACAGCGGTGGCAACAACAGTGGTGGCGTCAACAGCGGTGGCAACAACAGCGGTGGCGTCAACAGCGGTGGCATCAACAGTGGTGGCGTCAACAGCGGTGGCAACAACAGTGGTGGCGTCAACAGCGGTGGCAAAAACAGCGGTGGCAACAACAGCGGTGGCAACAACAGCTGTGGCAACAACAGCGGTGGCAACAACAGCGGTGGCAACAGCAGTGGTGGCAGCAACAGCGGTGGCGTCAACAGCGGTGGCAACAACGGTGGTGGCATCAACAGTGGTGGCAACAATTGCGGTGGCAACAACAGTGGTGGCATCCACAGCGGTGGCATCAACAGCGGTGGCAACAACGGTGGTGGCATCAACAGCGGTGGCAACAACAGCAGTGACAACAACAACGGTGGCAACAACAGTGGTGGCAACAACAGCGCGGTGGCATCAACAGCGGTGGCAAAAACAGCGGTGGCAACAACAGTGGTGGCAACAACAGTGGTGGCAACAACAGCGGTGGTGTCAACAGCGGTGGCAACAACAGTGGTGACAACAACAGCAGTGGCGTCAACAACGGTGGCAACAACAGCGGTGGCAACAACAGCGGTGGCGTCAACAGCGGTGGCAACAACAGCTGTGGCGTCAACAGTGGTGTCAACAACAGCTGTGGCGTCCACAGCAGTGGCAACAACAGCGGTGGTGTCAATGGCAGTAGCAACAACAGCGGTCTCAACAACAGCAGTAGCGTCAACAGCGGTGGCATCAACAGCAGTGGCAACAACAGCGGTGGCAACAACAACGTTGGCGTCAACAGCGGAGGCAACAACAGCGGTGTCAACAACAGCGGTGGCGTCAACAGTGGTGGCGTCAACAGCGGTGGCAACAACAGTGGTGGCGTCAACAGCGGTGGCAACAACAGTGGTGGCGTCAACAGCGGTGGCAAAAACAGCGGTGGCAACAACAGTGGTGGCGTAAACAGTGGTGGCAACAACAGCGCTGGCAACAACAGCGGTAGCAACAACAGTGGTGGTAACAACAGCGGTGGCAACCACAGCGGTGGCAACAACAGCTGTGGCAACAACAGCGGTGGCAACAACAGCGGTGGCAACAACAGTGGTGGCATCAACAGTGGTGGCAACAATTGCGGTGGCAACAACAGTGGTGGCATCCACAGCGGTGGCATCAACAGCGGTGGCAACAACGGTGGTGGCATCAACAGCGGTGGCAACAACAGCAGTGACAACAACAACGGTGGCAACAACAGTGGTGGCAACAACAGCGCGGTGGCATCAACAGCGGTGGCAAAAACAGCGGTGGCAACAACAGTGGTGGCAACAACAGTGGTGGCAACAACAGCGGTGGTGTCAACAGCGGTGGCAACAACAGTGGTGACAACAACAGCGGTGGCGTCAACAGCGGTGGCAACAACAGCGGTGGCAACAACAGCGGTGGCGTCAACAGCGGTGGCAACAAACGCGGTGGTCTCAACAACAGCTGTGGTGTCAACAGTGGTGGCGTCCACAGCAGTGGCAACAACAGCGGTGGTGTCAATGACAGTAGCAACAACAGCGGTCTCAACAACAGCGGTGGCGTCAACAGCGGTGGCAACAACAGCAGTGGCAACAACAGGGGTGGCGTCAACAGCGGTGGCGTCAAGAGCAGTGGCAACAACAGCGGTGGCGTCAACAGTGGTGGCGTCAACAGCAGTGGCAACAACAGCAGTGGCAACAACAGCGGTGGCGTCAACAGTGGTGGCGTCAACAGCGGTGACGTCAAAAGCGGTGGCAACAACAGCAGTGGCAACAACAGCTGTAGCAATAACAGCTGTGGCAATAACAGCTGTGGCAACAACAGCAGTGGCAACAACAGCGGTGGCGTCAACAGCGGTGGCAACAACAGCGGTGGCAACCACAGCGGTGGCAACAGCAGCAGTGGCAACAACAGCGGTGGCGTCAACAGCGGTGGCAACAACAGCGGTGGCAACAACAGTGGTGGCAACAACAGCAGTGGCAACAACAGCGGTGGCGTCAACAACGGTGGCAATAACAGCGGTGGCAGCAACGGCAGTGGCAACAACAGCGGTGGCGTCAACAGCGGTGGCAATAACAGCGGTGGCAACAACAGCGGTGGCGTCAACAGCTGTGGCAACAACAGCGGTGGCGTCCACAGCGGTGGCAACAACAGCGGTGGTGTCAACAGCGGTGGCAACAACAGCGGTGGCGTCAACAGCGTTGGTAACAACAGCGGTGGCAACAACAGTGGTGGCAACAACAGCAGTGGCAACAACAGCGGTGGCGTCAACAACGGTGGCAACAACAGCGGTGGCAATAACAGCGGTGGCAACAACAGCAGTGGCAACAACAGCGGTGGCGTCAACAGCATTGGCAACAACAGTGGTGGCCATAACAGCGGTGGGGTCAACAGCGGTGGCAACAACAGCGGTGGCAACAACAGCGGTGGCAATAACAGCGGTGGCAATAACAGCGGTGGCAACAACAGCGGTGGCAATAACAACGGTGACAACAACAGCAGTTGCAACAACAGCGGTGGCGTCAACAGCGGTGGCAACAACAGTGGTGGCAACAACAGCGGTGGCGTCAACAACGGTGGCAACAACAGCGGTGGCAACAACAGCTGTTGCAACAACAGCGGTGGCGTCAACAGCGGTGGCAACAACAGCGGTGGCAACAACAGCGGTGGCATCAACAGCAGTGGCAACAACAGCGGTGGCAACAACAGCGGTGGCGTCAACAGTGGAGGCAACAACAGCGGTGTCAACAACAGCGGTGGCATCAACAGTGGTGGCGTCAACAGCGGTGGCAAAAAAGCGGTGGCAACAACAGTGGTGGCAACAACAGCGTGGCAACAACAGTGGTGGTAACAACAGCGGTGGCAACAACAGCGGTGGCAACAACAGCTGTGGCAACAACAGCGGTGGCAACAACAGCGGTGGCAACAACAGTGGTGGCAACAACAGCGGCAGCGTCAACAGCGGTGGCAACAACAGCGGTGGCGTCAACAGCGGTGGCAACAACAGCGGTGGCAACAACAGCGGTGGCAACAGCAGCAGTGGCAACAACAGCGGTGGCGTCAACAGCGGTGGCAACAACAGCGGTGGCAACAACAGTGGTGTCAACAACAGCAGTGGCATCAACAACGGTGGCAATAACAGCGGTGGCAGCAACGGCAGTGGCAACAACAGCGGTGGCGTCAACAGCGGTGGCAATAACAGCGGTGGCAACAACAGCGGTGGCGTCAACAGCGGTGGCAACAACAGCGGTGGCGTCAACAGCGGTGGCAACAACAGCGGTGGTGTCAACAGCAGTGGCAACAACAGCGGTGGCAACAACAGCGGTGGCGTCAACAGCGGTGGCAACAACAGCGGTGGCAACAACAGTGGTGGCAACAACAGCAGTGGCAACAACAGCGGTGGCGTCAACAACGGTGGCAACAACAGCGGTGGCAATAACAGCGGTGGCAACAACAGCAGTGGCAACAACAGCGGTGGCGTCAACAGCGGTGGCAACAACAGTGGTGGCCATAACAGCGGTGGGGTCAACAGCGGTGGCAACAACAGCGGTGGCAACAACAGCAGTGGCAACAACAGTGGTGGCAACAACAGCGGTGGCAACAACAGCGGTGGCAATATCAGCGGTGGCAATAACAGCGGTGGCAACAACAGCAGTGGGAACAACAGTGGTGGCAACAACAGCGGTGGCAACAACAGTGGTGGCAATAACAGCGGTGGCAATAACAGCGGTGGCAACAACAGCGGTGGCAATAACAACGGTGACAACAACAGCAGTTGCAACAACAGCGGTGGCGTCAACAGCGGTGGCAACAACAGCGGTGGCAATAACAGCGGTGGCAACAACAACGGTGGCGTCAGCAGCGGAGGCAACAACAGCGGTGTCAACAACAGCGGTGGCATCAACAGTGGTGGCGTCAACAGCGGTGGCAAAAAAAGCGGTGGCAACAACAGTGGTGGCGTTAACAGTGGTGGCAACAACAGCGGTGGCAACAACAGCGGTGGCAACAACAGTGGTGGAGTCAACGGCGGTGGCAAAAAAAGCGGTGGCAATAACAGTGATGGCGTTAACAGCTGTGGCAACAACAGCGGTGGCAACAACAGCGGTGGCAACAACAGTGGTGGCAACAACAACAGCGGTGGCGTTAACAGCGGTGGCAACAACGGTAGTGGCATCAACAGTGGTGGCAACAATTGCGGTGGCAACAACAGTGGTGGCATCCACAGCTGTGGCATCAACAGCGGTGGCAACAACGGTGGTGGCATCAACAGCGGTGGCAACAACAGCAGTGACAACAACAACTGTGGCAACAACAGTGGTGGCAACAACAGCGCGGTGGCATCAACAGCGGTGGCAAAAACAGCGGTGGCAACAACAGTGGTGGCAACAACAGTGGTGGCAACAACAGCGGTGACAACAACAGCGGTGACAACAACAGCGGTGACAACAACAGCGGTGGCAACAACAGTGGTGGCAACAACAGCGGTGGCGTCAACAGCGGTGGCAACAACGGTGGTGGCAACAACAGAGGTGATAACAACAGCGGTGACAACGACAGTGGTGGCATCAACAGCGGTGGCATCAACAGCGGTGGCATCAACAGTGGTGGCAACAACAGCGGTGGCAACAACGGTGGCAACAACAGCGGTGACAACAACAGTGGTGGCATCAACAGCGGTGGCATCAACAGCGGTGGCATCAACAGTGGTGGCAACAACAGCGGTGGCAACAATGGTGGCATCAACAGCGGTGGCAACAACGGTGGCAACAACAGCGGTGGCATCAACAGTGGTGGCAATAACGGCGGTGGCAACAACAGCGGTGGCATCAACAGCGGTGGCAACAACAGCGGAGGCAACAACAGCGGTGGCGTCAACAGCGGTGGCAACAACAGCGGTGGCAACAACAGCGGTGGCAACAACAGAGGTGACAACAACAGCGGTGACAACAACAGCGGTGACATCAACAGCGGTGGCAACAACAGCGGTGGCAACAACAGCGGTGGCATCAACAGCGGTGGCAACAACAGCGGTGGCAACAACAGCGGTGGCAACAACAGCGGTGGCAACAACAGCGGTGACAGCAACAGCGGTGGCAACAACAGCGGTGGCAACAACAGCGGTGGCATCAACAACGGTGGCAACAAGAGCGGTGGCGTCAACAGCGGTGGCAACAACAGCGGTGGCAACAACAGCGGTGGCAACAACAGCGGTGACAACAACAGCGGTGGCAACAACAGCGGTGGCAACAACAGCGGTGGCATCTACAACGTTGGCAACAAGAGCGGTTGCGTCAACAGCGGTGGCAACAACAGCGTTGGCAGCAACAGCGGTGGCATCACCAACGGTGGCAACAAGAGCGGTTGCGTCAACAGCGGTGGCAACAACAGCGGTGGCAACAACAGCGGTGACAACAACAGCGGTGACAACAACAGCGGTGACAACAACAGCGGTGGCAACAACAGCGGTGACAACAACAGCGGTGGCAACAACAGCGGTGACAACAACAGCGGTGGCGTCAACAGCGGTGGCAACAACAGCGGTGGCAACAACAGCGGTGACAACAACAGCGGTGACATCAAATGACAACGGTAATAATTATAACAAATATAAAATCGTATTAAAAATATGATTTATTTAATCAATAAATAAAATATTTAAAAATATTTTATTATTAAAGAATTATTATGAATAATTTATTATTACTTTTTTCAGGAAGCAACGCCTATGTACAATCTTAATTATCGCTATATTAACTATAACAATTATCCCAATTATAATTATATAATTATACAATTATAGTAATTAATATATTAAACAATTATATCAATTTTCTACAATTGTAACAATATAAACAATTATAGTAATATAACAACATATATACAATTATTGCAACATATGAACAACCGAAAAAAATTATATATAATTTCAATAAGAAATAAACAATTATTGCAATATATATACAAATATAGGAACATATATTTACAATTATAACAAACAATTGTAACATATATAAACAATTATAACAAACAATTGTAACATTTATAAACAATTATAACAAACAATTGTAACATATATAAACAATTATAACAAACAATTGTAACATTTATAAACAATTATAACAAACAATTGTAACATTTATAAACAATTATAACAAACAATTATAGCAATATTAAAAATTATAAACACATATAATTACAGCAACATATAAACTTATGTAACGCATAAACAATTATACAATTATAACAATATGAAGAATTATTACTACATATCATAGCAACATATAAACAAATATAGCAACAAATAAACAATTATAGCACTATATAAAAAATTATTGCAACATATAAACAATTATAGCAACAAATAAACAATTATAGCAACATATAAACAATTATAGCAACATATAAACAATTATAGCAACATATAAGCAATTATAGCAACATATAAACAATTATAGCAACGTATAAACAATTATAGCAACAAATAAACAATTATAGCAACATATAAACAATTATAGCAACATATAAACAATTATAGCAGCATATAAACAATTATAGCAACATATAAACAATTATAGAGACATATAAACAATTATAGAAACATATAAACAATTATAGCAACATATAAACAATTACAGCAACATATAAACAATTATAGCAACATATAAACAATTATAGCAACATATAAACAATTACAGCAACATATAAACAATTATAGCAACATATAAACAATTATAGCAACAAATAAACAATTATAGAGACATATAAACAATTATAGCAACATATAACAAATATAAAAATATACAAACAATGATACAACATAAATGCAATAAAAGCAACAATATAAACAGTTAAAGCAACATATAAAGTGAAAGCATTATATAAGCAATTATAACAGAAACAAATACTGCAATTACAGAAACAATTGCGACAACTACAGTAACAATTAGTGCAACTACAGTAACAATCGTTGCAACTACAGTAACAATTGCGACAACTACAGTAACAATTGCAGCAACTACAGTAACGATTGTTTCAACTACAGTAACAATTTCTGCAGCTACAGTAACAATTGCAGCAACTAAAGTAACAATTACTGCAACAACAGTAACAATTGCAGCAACTACAGTAACAATTGTTGCGACCACAGTAACAATTACTGCAACTACAGTAACAATTGCAGCAACAACAGTAACAATTGCAGCAACTACAGTAACAATTGTTGCGACCACAGTAACAATTACTGCAACTACAGTAACAATTGCTGCAACTACAGTAACAATTAGTGCAACTACAGTAACAATTGCAGCAACAACAGTAACAATTGCAGCAATTACAGTAACAATTGTTGCGACCACAGTAACAATTACTGCAACAACAGTAACAATTGTTGCAACTACAGTAACAATTGTTGCGACCACAGTAACAATTACTGCAACAACAGTAACAATTGTTGCAACTACAGTAACAATTTCGGCAATTACAGTACCAATGGTACTGTTGAAAACAGCAACACTAACAACAGAAACTGAAGATAACACTAACAACAGAAACATAAAATAACACGGACAACGAGAACAGAAGATAACAACACGAAAAACAGGAACCGAAGATTACAACACGAACAACAGGAACCGAAGATAACAAGTAACAATATGAAGATATCAGAGAGCAGCAACACGAGCAACAACATCACACATAAGATAACAACAGGAACAGTCCGTAACATCATGAGGAACAGCGGGTAGAGGAGCAAGAAGCACTTAGATCAGCAGTTGCGGGCGAGATGCCTCCCTCCCTGGCCGCGTGGCGCCCTCCCCGGGCGGGCAGACGAGCAAGGGCGGGAAAAGAGTGAGCGCGAATGAGCGCGAGTGACCGCGAAAGCGTCCTGAGCCGGCTTCCCCCCGCCCGTCTGCGGGGAGGGGCTCACCGACACGCCGGAAAGCATGTCTTGCATGCAATTGGTCAGCTGCAGGTCTCTGCAAGCCATTGGTCTAGGTGTTTAGGTGGGTGGGTGGGGGTGGACCTCGTAGCTAGCCTCCTTGTGGGCGGCGCTTGAGCGTTAGGGGTGAAAGACAGGTGTTTTCTGTTGTAAAAGTGGGTTTTACCTTCCTGTGGCTTGACACTATCCTCTCTCGGTCATTTGATCTAAGGCATTGTTAATGCCCAACAGTGTATGTATTTTTTGGGTCCATGTTTTCTTTAAGTAGCTTAAATGGATCAGAGGCTTCGCTTCTTTTATGGACCTGAAAGTATTTGATGATTCTTCATCTCCTACAGAAGATCTGAGCTATAATCCTCTATGGAGTGGAACAGAAAAATCCTATTCACTTATAATAGAAGTTGTTCATCTTTATGAACAAGATTTTGTATTACAAAAGTGAAATTACGTCACGATTTCTGAGATTGGAGAACTGATACGTGAAACTGTTGTGGCTCTAGACACGTCTTTCCTGAATAACGGTAAATGTTTTTTTGTCAGTCTTGAAAATTTGTGTTAGGTTACTTTGCGTTCCGTAAAGCTGAGGGTGAGGTAAGCTGAAGGTGAGGTAAGCTAAAGGTGAGGTAAGCTGAAGGTGAGGTAAGCTGAAGGTGAGGTAAGCTGAAGGTGAGGTAAGCTGAAGGTGAGGTAAGCTGAAGGTGAGGTAAGCTGAAGGTGAGGTAAGCTGAAGGTGAGGTAAGCTGAAGGTGAGGTAAGCTGAAGGTGAGGTAAGCTGAAGGTGAGGTAGGAAGGTGATGAAGTGGGCTGTAAGAGATGCAGGTGGAAGTGGGTTCAGATAACATGGGTCTTAGGCTTTGTTTTTGGGCGGACACAGGTATGCTATCGGGCATCTAAACATCACTACCAAAACGCTGCTTCCACCGAACAACCCTGAGGGTGCAATGTTCTTCAGCACAGGAGCTGAATGCAGCTGTAAAACTTCTTCATTTACTGAAAGAATTTGTTGCATCACGGAAAAATATGTTGGACGAGTTTGAAAGGAATGGCATCACAAGCATGGTGCATCAACCTCCGAGGAAGTTGATGCACCAACAACTCTTCTTTTTTACATCAGTAAAAAACGTAAAAAAAAATCGTAAAAATAAAACTACTTTTTTTATTTACGTTTTCAGGATGTTGATCCTGAGAACGCAAGCACAGAACGCAATGCTAAAATTCAAATTGATGATGGACCAGCTCAAGAAACTAAGTTCTCAGGCTCGGCTCTTGAACCATTTAATCATCTGTTTTCTACTTGTCATTGGTCGCTATGATGTATGTAGTCATGTCAACTCTTTATGCATTTGAAGAATTGCACCAGGCTACACATTACCTAATTTCTTGCTATCCTAAACTTCTGGGACCTAAAAACTAATTGTAACTGCAGCTGATCATGAAACTAAATGTAGTAATGCACTGAACATGTTTAAGAAAACTGTGTCAAACAATCTTTCTTCACTCTTTTCATATATATATATATATATATATATATATATATATATATATATATATATATATATATATATATATATATATATATATATATATATATATATATATATATATATATATATATATTTCTCTGCGAATTTACTATACTCAGTTATGGTATCCAATTGCAGAGGGGAGAGATCATTTTATGTTATTTAATGAATCAGAAACTTCATGAGATCTAAAATTAAAGACGACAAATTGAGCTACTTTCCTTAGAGCTTTTTTTTTACAATTTATTTAATTTGGGTGCGCCGCTTAAGCCTATGCAACGTAGAGTGATATCCGCCATTACCTGTTAGTGAGATAGGCTGTATGTGAGGTAGGCCCTAGATGAGGTAGGCTCTAGATGAGGTAGGCAGTTGGTGAGGTCTTCCTTAGGAGGCCAGAATTTGTAGGTCAGAATCTTGGGGATAGCCTCACCAAACTTTGTACCCTGATTTATGTGGGTGCGTGGCTAACTTGGTCGGGTTGAGCCTGGTACAAGAGAAACAAGTGCCAACTGACACGATTCCATGCTCATCTCAGTGTGTTAATGACACATCCCTGACACCATACACATCACAGGCTGGAATTGTGTATTTCAGTGAATATACGGTTGGTTAAGTGAGGGGAAAAGGTGACTGGAAATCGAGGTGAACGATGTGAACACGTGCTGCATCATTTCAGCTGGAAGATTCCCGCTGGACGTACTTGGAGAGCATGTGGAGACAAGCCTAATGGGGAGCTTTTTGTTCGTTGTGCATGTAAATATTTTGGGTGTTGTTGGCACGATGTCTGTAATGTTAATGTCTTCTCGCAGACATAATAACACAGGATAAAACTCCCCCCCACACACCTGTATGTGATACACAAGTGTGTGGGCGGGGTTTAAATCCTATGGTGATTGTCCTAATATAGTCAGATCGAGTTGAGTCCACAAATGGGATAGAGAGCTTGAATGGTCCCTAAGCCTTGATGGATGGCTTGGGGGAACTATCCGGCTCAGCTGGGACCATCCGGTGGGTGGAGCGTGTACACGGGGGAGAGGGGTAGCTAGAGGAATCAGGTGGAGGAGGCAGTAGGAAGAAGGATGTGTGGGAGGGCTGAGTGTAGGGAGAGGTGGAGCAGTGGAAGGACGGGGAAAGTGGGAAGGAAGAGGGGAATGAAGGAGGGAGTGAGTAACAGGCAGAGGACGGGGGAGGGGAAAGGGAGGGAGACACTGTTGTTTAAATATTAAGTTTGCATTCACGTTTTTTTTTTATTAATACATGAGGTACATCTGCATTTATGCGCGTTGCTTTCAAGCATAAAGCTTCCCAGTAAAAATGTTTGGAGGAAATTTCATAACTGTCTTCAAAATACTAATTAATTATATCGATGAACTATGTCTTGGGAAGAGAAGTGGAGCCCAGGAACTAGCTCCTGTCCCTCGACTTCATCCGAAGTAACTATATTTTAAATTTAATTTAAATCGGATGTATTCTTGGAAAATTAAGATGTAACGTGTATGATGGGGCTTGGCAGACGATGTAATAAAGTTACCTGGACAGGTTCATGGTTCAAGGTAGTGGAGTCTATTAAAGCTCTTGGGATTTGCTGGTGTAAAACATATGGAACAACATTGGTTACGAATTGGCAAGTACTATGTGGGAATATAATAGTTGCAACGAATATGTTGCTAATTGACCCAGTTTCAAAAGGCTGTAATAATCAATTGCAAAAATTGTCTAAAGTGTGGTATTTGTCTCACAGCTTTCCAATAAACAAGAAAAGTGCTATGGAAATTGACAAAACTATTTTTAGATATGTATGGTATGGTAGACACCAACCAATTAAACGGACTACTCTATGTAAAGGTAAGAAAAACGGTGGAATAGGAATACTGAATGTGTACCATAAGTCATTGGTAATCTTATGTGTTACCCTTAGAAAGGAGATAATGCAGAGGAATAGTGTAAATGTCCTAGGACATTACTTTTGTACATTACGTGTTAGCTACTTGATACATATGCCAGAGTATACTGACCTTGATACATATGCCAGAGTATACTGACCTTGATACATATGCCAGAGTATACTGACCTTGATACATATGCCAGAGTATACTGACCTTGATACATATGCCAGAGTATACTGACCTTGATACATATGCCAACTGACCTTGATACATATGCCAGAGTATACTGACCTTGATACATATGCCAGAGTATACTGACCTTGATACATATGCCAGAGTATACTGACCTTGATACATATGCCAGAGTATACTGTCCTTGATACATATGCCAGAGTATACTGACCTTGATACATATGCCAGAGTATACTGACCTTGATACATATGCCAGAGTATACTGACCTTGATACATATGCCAGAGTATACTGACCTTGATACATATGCCAGAGTATACTGACCTTGCCTTTATTTCACCGCACTTTTATTCATGTGCAATTGATGTTCTCAGGCGGATTTGTAATATTGAAAGTTTTTTAATGATGAACAGTAAACAAGTGTATGATGTTACACTACCAAATATAGTTCCTAGAGTAGGGGAGGCATATCCACTCTTTATCTGGCAAGTAATATGGGCAAACCTTCATGTTAAATATATTGCTCCAAAACAACGTGAGCTGTTGTATGGCTATATTCATGAGACCCTCCCTACTAATGATAGGTTGTTGATGTTGGGCATTAAGGACAACAATAGGTGTGACCAATGTACAGAAATTGAAAATAATATGCATATATTTTATTTCTGTAAGCAGAAAGTTGTTCTTGTAAACTGGATTAGAGACATTCTTAAAGCTTTATGTGGACCAAGTATTAGAGTGGAGTTAATGAGGTTTTTAATGTTTCATATTGACATAAAATGCAAGAAAATTAAGAATACAATAATTATGCTACTTTCTGATTGCATTTTTTGTGTGTGTGGATAGGCAAGCAGGAGGGTTACTGTGTGTGTGGATAGGCAGGCAGGAGGGTTACTGTGTGTGGATAGGCAGGCAGGAGGGTTACTGTGTGTGTGGATAGGCAGGCAGGAGGGTTACTGTGTGGGGATAGGCAGGCAGGAGGGTTACTGTGTGTGGATAGGCAGGCAGGAGGGTTGTGTGGATAGGCAGGCAGGAGGGTGTGTGTGGATAGGCAGGCAGGAGGGTTACTGTGTGTGTGGATAGGCAGGCAGGAGGGTTACTGTGTGTGGATAGGCAGGCAGGAGGGTTACTGTGTGTGGATAGGCAGGCAGGAGGGTTACTGTGTGTGTGGATAGGCAGGCAAGAGGGTTACTGTGTGTGGATAGGCAGGAGGGTTACTGTGTGTGGATAGGCAGGCAGGAGGGTTACTGTGTGTGGATAGGCAGGCAGGAGGGTTACTGTGTGTGTGTGTGGATAGGCAGGCCGGAGAGTTACTGTGTGTGGATAGGCAGGCAGGAGGGTTACTGTGTGTGGATAGGCAGGCAGGAGGGTTACTGTGTGTGGATAGGCAGGCAGGAGGGTTACTGTGTGTGGATAGGCAGGCAGGAGGGTTACTGTGTGTGGATAGGCAGGCAGGAGGGTTACTGTGTGTGGATAGGCAGGCAGGAGGGTTACTGTGTGTGGATAGGCAGGCAGGAGGGTTACTGTGTGTGGATAGGCAGGCAGGAGGGTTACTGTGTGTGGATAGGCAGGCAGGAGGGGTTACTGTGTGTGGATAGGCAGGCAGGAGGGTTACTGTGTGTGGATAGGCAGGCAGGAGGGTTACTGTGTGTGGATAGGCAGGCAGGAGGGTTACTGTGTGTGGATAGGCAGGCAGGAGGGTTACTGTGTGTGGATAGACAGGCAGTAGGGTTACTGTGTGTGGATAGGCAGGCAGGAGGGTTACTGTGTGTGGATAGGCAGGCAGGAGGGTTACTGTGTGTGGATAGGCAGGCAGGAGGGTTACTGTGTGTGGATAGACAGGCAGGAGGGTTACTGTGTGTGGATAGGCAGGCAGGAGGGTTACTGTGTGTGGATAGGCAGGCAGGAGGGTTACTGTGTGTGGATAGGCAGGCAGGAGGGTTACTGTGTGTGGATAGGCAGGCAGGAGGGTTACTGTGTGTGGATAGGCAGGCAGGAGGGTTACTGTGTGTGGATAGACAGGCAGGAGGGTTACTGTGTGTGGATAGACAGGCAGGAGGGTTACTGTGTGTGGATAGACAGGCAGGAGGGTTACTCAGTAGACAAAATATTTAAGTTCTTGCGAGGCAGGATCAGGTTTTTCTTCTGGGGTTTACGGCTCATGCTCGCTGATGATATGGGAAATTTGTTTACTGAGAATTATATAAAATATATATATATAAAGGTAATAATTTCCCCTGTAAATTAATGTAAACATAATCTCCAATTTTGTAAATCATTTAAAGAAAAATAAGTATAACATTTAGGGGTTTTTAAAGTTTATGTTCTGTGATAATGAAACACGTTTACTGAGAATTATACTACTGTATATGTAATGTAGTACTGCCTCGTAAAACTTATGTATATATGATTTATATTGTATTTTATTAAATAAAGATAGAAAAAATGGCTACAGTGATATTCATGTTTAGTGGCAGTCTAAGTGTAGAGCCACTGAGTACCAGTGACGTCTTTAAGATTAAGATTTCTGTTTGTTCTCTTATTAGTTACAAGAGGTTACGGTTAAGATAAATATAGAATTATTCAAAACAGTCTCAGTAACTTTTGTTTTCGAGTTGATGCTCAGTTCACTAGTTTTGTGACACCCAGGAGAGTACAACTTTTGAGTTTATAGGGGCAGCGAGCGGCCAGCTAGTGTAGCAACTGAGTGATATTTTTTCCTTTTTCATTACATGTAATTTAATATGTTGTGTTTATGTGTCTACTTCTCTCTGCTATTGATTTATTATCGACGACCACCACCCAAGCTGAATCTTAATAAACTGATACACACTGCAGGACATACGTGTGATGTGAGAGGCTAGGCTACAGAAATTTCCGCATACCCCCTCAGAAGGCAGTATATTCCCTGGAGAGAGAGCGTCCACACCGGACAGTAAATTCCGTTGTAAATTCAGTAAAAACAGCACCCAGTAAATGCCAGGGAACCATATATCCAGGCTGGTGCCACTGATAGTGCGACCGAGAGGGTATAGGACGACTGAGAGTGTATAGGACGACTGAGAGCCTGAGTTATACCACAGTACAAGGTAGCCTAACCTCCCCAGGTATTCAATGACTGCACCGAGTGCGCTGTAACCGGAGTTGTAAGGTATGAACAGTGGGGCACTGAGTGAGTGAGCTCTCGACTCAGAGTGCCGAGAACGACACACTAAAGAGTAATTGCGTGCCTGGAGTTGTCTGAGAGCTCATCATTGTACCATACAATCTCTGCACAATCTCCCTGGGGGATTGTGGGTGAGAATAACGGTCCTGCGGAAGTCCCTGTGCCAGTGGCCTAAACAGGCAACAACACAGATATCGAATATACAGGTAGGATAACACGCATATTTGAGATACACAAAGATATCGAATATACAGATGGGATAACAGTCATAGTTGAGGAACAAATTCATTCTGAATACACATACATGGGATTCCCACACACACTCGTATGATACCCCCAAGGAATACACATTAACCTGAGACGCAGACACAGTAATATAGAGAAATAATGTTGTTGATATTTCCGGAGAGATGAGGTTGTTGATCATTATAATACCTCAGTCATGATGATGGCGCTTTTGTTGATAATGGGAATGATAATTCAGGTGGAAGTGATACTGATAACTGATATACGTAGTGATTGTTGTGGGGGGGGTGGGGGTGAATGGCATGGTTACTGGTGTATTCACCTAGTTGTGCTTGCAGGGGTTGAGCTCTGGCTCTTTCGGCCCGCCTCTCAACTGTCAATCAACTGATTATTCCCCCCCCCCCCCCACACACACACACACAGGAAGCACCCGGTAGCAGCTGTCTAACTCCCAGGTGCCTGTTTACTGCTAGGTGAACAGGAGCCTCAGGGTAAAAGAAACTCTGTGCTTTAGTTTCCGCCAACGCCGGGGATTGATCCCGGTCCCAAGGATTATGAATCCCGAGCGCTGTCCACTCAGCCATTAGCCCTCCCTCCCGGTTACGTGTGTGGCAGTGTTGTTAGTGGTGGTTGGTAATGTTGTTAGTGGTGGGTAGTTGTGATGTTAGTGGTGGGTAGTTGTGTTGTTAGTGGTGGGTAGTTGTGTTGTTAGTGGTGGGTAGTTGTGCTGTTAGTGGTGGGTAGTTGTGTTGTTAGTGGTGGGTAGTTGTGATGTTAGTGGTGGGTAGTTGTGTTGTTAGTGGTGGGTAGTTGTGATGTTAGTGGTGGGTAGTTGTGTTGTTAGTGGTGGGTAGTTGTGATGTTAGTGGTGGGTAGTTGTGATGTTAGTGGTGGGTAGTTGTGATGTTAGTGGTGGGTAGTTGTGTTGTTAGTGGTGGGTGGTTGTGTTGTTAGTGGTGGGTGGTTGTGTTGTTAGTGGTTGGTAGTTGTGTTGTTAGTGGCTGGTAGTTGTGATGTTAGTGGTGGGTAGTTGTGTTGTTAGTGGCTGGTAGTTGTGTTGTTAGTGGTGGGTAGTTGTGATGTTAGTGGTGGGTAGTTGTGTTGTTAGTGGTGGGTAGTTGTGTTGTTAGTGGTGGGTAGTTGTGATGTTAGTGGTGGGTAGTTGTGTTGTTAGTGTTGGGTGGTTGTGTTGTTAGTGGTTGGTGGTTGTGTTGTTAGTGTTGGGTGGTTGTGTTGTTAGTGGTTGGTGGTTGTGATGTTAGTGGTGGGTAGTTGTGTTGTTAGTGTTGGGTGGTTGTGTTGTTAGTGGTTGGTGGTTGTGTTGTTAGTGTTGGGTGGTTGTGTTGTTAGTGGTTGGTGGTTGTGATGTTAGTGGTGGGTAGTTGTGTTGTTAGTGTTGGGTGGTTGTGTTGTTAGTGGTGGGTAGTTGTGTTGTTAGTGGTGGGTAGTTGTGATGTTAGTGGTGGGTAGTTGTGATGTTAGTGGTGGGTAGTTGTGATGTTAGTGGTGGGTAATTGTGATGTTAGTGGTGGGTGTAGTAGTAGTAGTAGTGGTAGTAGTAGTAGTAGTAGTAGTAGTAGTAGTGGTAGTAGTAGTGGTAGTAGTAGTAGTAGTAGTAGTAGTAGTGGTAGTAGTGGTGGTAGTAGTAGTAGTAGTAGTAGTAGTAGTAGTAGTGGTAGTGGTAGTAGTAGTGGTAGTAGTGGTAGTAGTAGTAGTAGTAGTAGTAGTAGTAGTAGTAGTAGTAGTAGTAGTAGTAGTAGTAGTAGTAGTAGTAGTAGTAGTAGTAGTAGTAGTAGTAGTGGTAGTAGTAGTAGTAGTAGTAGTAGTAGTAGTAGTAGTAGTAGTAGTAGTAGTAGTAGTAGTAGTAGTAGTAGTAGTAGTAGAAGTAGTAGTAGTAGTAGTAGTAGTAGTAGTAGTAGTAGTAGTAGTAGTAGTAGTAGTAGTAGTAGTAGTAGTAGTAGTAGTAGTAGTAGTAGTAGTAGTAGTAGTAGTAGTAGTAGTAGTAGTAGTAGTAGTAGTAGTAGTAGTAGTAGTAGTAGTAGTAGTAGTAGTAGTAGTAGTAGTAGTAGTAGTAGTAGTAGTAGTAGTAGTAGTAGTAGTAGTAGTAGTAGTAGTAGTAGTAGTAGTAGTAGTAGTAGTAGTAGTAGTAGTAGTAGTAGTAGTAGTAGTAGTAGTAGTGGTAGTAGTAGTAGTAGTAGTAGTAGTAGTAGTAGTAGTAGTAGTAGTAGTAGTAGTAGTAGTAGTAGTAGTAGTAGTAGTAGTAGTAGTAGTAGTAGTAGTAGTAGTAGTAGTAGTAGTAGTAGTAGTAGTAGTAGTAGTAGTAGTAGTAGTAGTAGTAGTAGTAGTAGTAGTAGTAGTAGTAGTAGTAGTAGTAGTAGTAGTAGTAGTAGTAGTAGTAGTAGTAGTAGTAGTAGTAGTAGTAGTAGTAGTAGTAGTAGTAGTAGTAGTAGTAGTAGTAGTAGTAGTAGTAGTAGTAGTAGTAGTAGTAGTAGTAGTAGTAGTAGTAGTAGTAGTAGTAGTAGTAGTAGTAGTAGTAGTAGTAGTAGTAGTAGTAGTAGTAGTAGTAGTAGTAGTAGTAGTAGTAGTAGTAGTAGTAGTAGTAGTAGTAGTAGTAGTAGTAGTAGTAGTAGTAGTAGTAGTAGTAGTAGTAGTAGTAGTAGTAGTAGTAGTAGTAGTAGTAGTAGTAGTAGTAGTAGTAGTAGTAGTAGTAGTAGTAGTAGTAGTAGTAGTAGTAGTAGTAGTAGTAGTAGTAGTAGTAGTAGTAGTAGTAGTAGTAGTAGTAGTAGTAGTAGTAGTAGTAGTAGTAGTAGTAGTAGTAGTAGTAGTAGTAGTAGTAGTAGTAGTAGTAGTAGTAGTAGTAGTAGTAGTAGTAGTAGTAGTAGTAGTAGTAGTAGTAGTAGTAGTAGTAGTAGTAGTAGTAGTAGTAGTAGTAGTAGTAGTAGTAGTAGTAGTAGTAGTAGTAGTAGTAGTAGTAGTAGTAGTAGTAGTAGTAGTAGTAGTAGTAGTAGTAGTAGTAGTAGTAGTAGTAGTAGTAGTAGTAGTAGTAGTAGTAGTAGTAGTAGTAGTAGTAGTAGTAGTAGTAGTAGTAGTAGTAGTAGTAGTAGTAGTAGTAGTAGTAGTAGTAGTAGTAGTAGTAGTAGTAGTAGTAGTAGTAGTAGTAGTAGTAGTAGTAGTAGTAGTAGTAGTAGTAGTAGTAGTAGTAGTAGTAGTAGTAGTAGTAGTAGTAGTAGTAGTAGTAGTAGTAGTAGTAGTAGTAGTAGTAGTAGTAGTAGTAGTAGTAGTAGTAGTAGTAGTAGTAGTAGTAGTAGTAGTAGTAGTAGTAGTAGTAGTAGTAGTAGTAGTAGTAGTAGTAGTAGTAGTAGTAGTAGTAGTAGTAGTAGTAGTAGTAGTAGTAGTAGTAGTAGTAGTAGTAGTAGTAGTAGTAGTAGTAGTAGTAGTAGTAGTAGTAGTAGTAGTAGTAGTAGTAGTAGTAGTAGTAGTAGTAGTAGTAGTAGTAGTAGTAGTAGTAGTAGTAGTAGTAGTAGTAGTAGTAGTAGTAGTAGTAGTAGTAGTAGTAGTAGTAGTAGTAGTAGTAGTAGTAGTAGTAGTAGTAGTAGTAGTAGTAGTAGTAGTAGTAGTAGTAGTAGTAGTAGTAGTAGTAGTAGTAGTAGTAGTAGTAGTAGTAGTAGTAGTAGTAGTAGTAGTAGTAGTAGTAGTAGTAGTAGTAGTAGTAGTAGTAGTAGTAGTAGTAGTAGTAGTAGTAGTAGTAGTAGTAGTAGTAGTAGTAGTAGTAGTAGTAGTAGTAGTAGTAGTAGTAGTAGTAGTAGTAGTAGTAGTAGTAGTAGTAGTAGTAGTAGTAGTAGTAGTAGTAGTAGTAGTAGTAGTAGTAGTAGTAGTAGTAGTAGTAGTAGTAGTAGTAGTAGTAGTAGTAGTAGTAGTAGTAGTAGTAGTAGTAGTAGTAGTAGTAGTAGTAGTAGTAGTAGTAGTAGTAGTAGTAGTAGTAGTAGTAGTAGTAGTAGTAGTAGTAGTAGTAGTAGTAGTAGTAGTAGTAGTAGTAGTAGTAGTAGTAGTAGTAGTAGTAGTAGTAGTAGTAGTAGTAGTAGTAGTAGTAGTAGTAGTAGTAGTAGTAGTAGTAGTAGTAGTAGTAGTAGTAGTAGTAGTAGTAGTAGTAGTAGTAGTAGTAGTAGTAGTAGTAGTAGTAGTAGTAGTAGTAGTAGTAGTAGTAGTAGTAGTAGTAGTAGTAGTAGTAGTAGTAGTAGTAGTAGTAGTAGTAGTAGTAGTAGTAGTAGTAGTAGTAGTAGTAGTAGTAGTAGTAGTAGTAGTAGTAGTAGTAGTAGTAGTAGTAGTAGTAGTAGTAGTAGTAGTAGTAGTAGTAGTAGTAGTAGTAGTAGTAGTAGTAGTAGTAGTAGTAGTAGTAGTAGTAGTAGTAGTAGTAGTAGTAGTAGTAGTAGTAGTAGTAGTAGTAGTAGTAGTAGTAGTAGTAGTAGTAGTAGTAGTAGTAGTAGTAGTAGTAGTAGTAGTAGTAGTAGTAGTAGTAGTAGTAGTAGTAGTAGTAGTAGTAGTAGTAGTAGTAGTAGTAGTAGTAGTAGTAGTAGTAGTAGTAGTAGTAGTAGTAGTAGTAGTAGTAGTAGTAGTAGTAGTAGTAGTAGTAGTAGTAGTAGTAGTAGTAGTAGTAGTAGTAGTAGTAGTAGTAGTAGTAGTAGTAGTAGTAGTAGTAGTAGTAGTAGTAGTAGTAGTAGTAGTAGTAGTAGTAGTAGTAGTAGTAGTAGTAGTAGTAGTAGTAGTAGTAGTAGTAGTAGTAGTAGTAGTAGTAGTAGTAGTAGTAGTAGTAGTAGTAGTAGTAGTAGTAGTAGTAGTAGTAGTAGTAGTAGTAGTAGTAGTAGTAGTAGTAGTAGTAGTAGTAGTAGTAGTAGTAGTAGTAGTAGTAGTAGTAGTAGTAGTAGTAGTAGTAGTAGTAGTAGTAGTAGTAGTAGTAGTAGTAGTAGTAGTAGTAGTAGTAGTAGTAGTAGTAGTAGTAGTAGTAGTAGTAGTAGTAGTAGTAGTAGTAGTAGTAGTAGTAGTAGTAGTAGTAGTAGTAGTAGTAGTAGTAGTAGTAGTAGTAGTAGTAGTAGTAGTAGTAGTAGTAGTAGTAGTAGTAGTAGTAGTAGTAGTAGTAGTAGTAGTAGTAGTAGTAGTAGTAGTAGTAGTAGTAGTAGTAGTAGTAGTAGTAGTAGTAGTAGTAGTAGTAGTAGTAGTAGTAGTAGTAGTAGTAGTAGTAGTAGTAGTAGTAGTAGTAGTAGTAGTAGTAGTAGTAGTAGTAGTAGTAGTAGTAGTAGTAGTAGTAGTAGTAGTAGTAGTAGTAGTAGTAGTAGTAGTAGTAGTAGTAGTAGTAGTAGTAGTAGTAGTAGTAGTAGTAGTA